TTAGAACTTACCCGCACTTGGGGCTAGTTTTACCGTCTATCAAGGCAAGTAGCAACGACAAAAAACTACATTAATACCTCTTATATTTAAGTAAATTGACTTGTTTCTAATGTATTCTTTTCATAAAACAACACAAACTATAATTAATACAATTACAATATATAAAGTTTCTTATAATATATTTTTTATCATAAAACAACATACAATTATTACATAATATTATCATAATACAAATAAAATATATAGTGTTTCCTCTGATACAATTTACATTTTCTCACATCTTACAAACTATAAACTCCACCTAATTTTTTGTACTTGAATCTGTATATAATTTTTGTATGTTACAACCAGCACCAGGGTTTTGTTTCAACTAACCCCAGGTGTGATTTTTTTTTAATTAACCAAAATAACTATTTAAACAATTTAGCAATCACAAAAATTGTTACACATTATCATAGATTGATAAATTTGGAACGAGATAAAATACATAAAATTTAAAATTAGTCAATAATAGCTTAACCCGAAATTATATGATAGACCAGGGCTCACCCTTAGGTAAGCGGTTAAGAGCGACGGGACTTGTATGAGCGAGGTCCCGGGTTCGATACCCACTTCGAGCAGTGTTGTCAGGCAACAGTGGCACCGATTTTCACTTGGAAATATAGATAGCAATATGTTTCCAAGTGAAAATAGCCCTCACTCGGCATTGCTACACCATACTCGCCCTATTACAGAAATTGTAATAATAATTTATCATACAGAGATGTGACAATTGATTGAGTTGCCATCTGTCAAACAAACTAGGATTAAGTCAAAATCAGCACAATAGCTTATAGGACTATTAGGTTCTGATTGCTGTTAAAAATAAAACAAAAACTAGCTGTAAGTGGAATTCTGTCTTAAGGCAATTAAGGCATCGTGCCTCAAGGCAAATTGCTGGAACTTCCCGTACCAAAAATTATTATTTTTTTAAAAACGATTAACATTCTTGAAAAAAAAATTACTTTGAAAAAATAAGATTTTTGAGAAACTAAATTGGACAAAAAATTACTTTTTTTTGAAAAAAAAATTTTTTTTTTAAAAAAAAATTTTTTTTAATTTCTTTTTTTTGAAAAAAAAATTTTCTTTATTTTTGTGGAAGATCTGAACTTTTTTTCAAAGCAATCGTATGCTTTAACTGCATAGGAACAAAATATAAAGCGCGTAAGCGCCGCGCGCGCTTCCAACGCATAAGCATTGGTACGGAACCCATAGGAATGTTAACAAAATGTATACTTATTGTTAAAATCTCTATAAAATATCTGATGATTGATGTGCATATGTCTAATGAGATTTTTGACCGCCGAATGGCTCATTTTTTTACTTTTCCTCCATATCTCCGAAACCGCTAGACCTACCTTCATGAAAATTTTATCGATTCTTCATCTTGTCAATACAAGTGAAATGTTTTTTGAATTATTCAAATCGGACGCTCCGTTCTCTTAAAAAACTGAGTTACCGTTTTCGGCACTTTTTGCCCCGTATCTTCGGAACGGCTAGACTGCCTTCGCGAAAAACTAATCAGCACGTCTCCTTATCAATACGAATTGAATGTTTTTTGAATTATTCAAATCGGTTGATCCGTGTTCCCGAAATCGTCGACGAAAATTTGTATCCGCACATACATACACACACGTACATACATACACACACACATACACACACATACACACACACACACACACACACACACACATACATCCATTTTTTCTAAGGTATGCCAAAATGTTCAGAAACCTTTGAAACGTAAAGATATATAAAAATTTTCATTTTCGATTTTTTTGCGATTACTATAACTTGCCCTACGGGAAGTTAAAAAAACAAAAAAAAATATTACAGATCAATGTTATATCACCTGTCGAAAATAACGCCACTGCACAATACTGCATTTTGCATTGGCCTGCGGGACAGTAGCTATGATAACATTATGCAGGACGGTTTACATGTCAAATCCAGATAAAAAATATTTTAATATCTTCTAAGATATAAGAATTGAAAAATGCCTATTACTAGTTACCCCCGTTACATATAGCCCCTATAAATAATTAAGGGAATTCGATAAATAATGTATTGAAATTGGCTTTCAATTTATTCCTTCCAAACGAATTTAGAGTAAATGATTGAGTCATAAAGTTGCATAAATGTGCGCCTGCGGCGCGTCGTGTGTCCGAAAAGCTACGCGGTGCAGCTTGATGCATAAACATTAGGAACCTGACATTCAAAGAAATTTGACAGGTGAACTAAATATTACTAAAAGAATATATGTTAAAAGAATATTTGAGGACTTGCGCACATTAAATCTAGAGTAAAATCAAAGAACCAAATTCGTAATTTACCTCAGAATCAAACTGAACTTGAAATACCAGGATCGAAGGTATCAAATTCCCAATACATTTTAGAAACTTGATATTCGCTCACGTCATGGGCGTACAAATATTTACAAAAAAGAGTTCGATCATTAATTATCGATGTTTCTTTGATTCCAACGGCGGGCTAGTGGCGCCCCAGAATCTAAACCGTTGACGGACGAGCTAAACATTTGGGACGCGCGTTCATGCGTTATTTGTTATTAGTTTAATCGTGTTTATAACAAAATTTCTTTACATAAAGTTTACTGTGCAGCACCAGCGTTGGTAACTGCTTACGTCTCCGGTTGAAATAATGAAAATCGACAAAATAGGTATATTGAGGTGAAAGAAAAATAATTCACATACTTCAAATTTCCAAAGAATATCTGGAATTAATATATAGAAATAATTCGTTCAGAATAAACAATTTTTTATAGCAATCAGAACTTTTAATAGTTTGTTGTCATGACTTCATGTTGCCAATCCAACGATTGTCCCAAATGATTAATGATTTAATTTTAATTTAATATACATACCCAAGTGTTATTTCATTCATAACAAATATTTCTTTTGATTTAACGATTAAGTTTTCCATGATTATGCAATAATTTGCATAAGGCGCTGCCCATTTTTATAAAAAAATTATAATTATTCAACATTTTGTAGTAATTAAGTATTACGAAATGTGGAAAAATTATAAAAGTTTATCGTCAAGTTAAGTTTTATGATATTCCATTTAATTATGAAGAAAAGTCTGACCGGTCTTTACCAAAAAATTATTATCTCGATTTTCAACTTGTATGTATGTATGTGCGAATGAAATTTTTTATCAACGATTCCGGGAACATGTTCAAACAATTTGATTCAGTGTAAAAAGTCGTAATTTAGTTTGTGAGAATATGCAATTTGAATAATTAACGACAAAAAATCTACCGCACGAACTCTCTCTCTCGTATATCAAACTATACATTGATATCAAATATTTTAAATAATAAAAAAATAAGTATTGGTTATATCACAATTAATTATAATCAATAGAAATAAAATTTAATGATCTAAATTAAAATATTACTGTTCATGATATATGATCTATAGACGACAATTGCCTTTATTTTTAAAAGACAAACCCATAAAACAACCAAATAAAATTATTTTGATATGTTAATCATAAAATCAATTTTGTCCTGTTTTTGTTTCAAAAGCAATAAGAACTATTGAGAACTACTAGTCCCATAAGTTGTTTGTTTAAGACTTAACCCAATGTTTCAACGAAATCAATATATCTCCGCATTTATTTGCGAACACGCAGTAACGCAACAAAAGAGAGTTAAAATCTTCGTCTGTTACCAGGTCTATTCTTGGTTAAGTATCTCCACAACAAGGTTTGAAATAGAATGAGAAAATTTTCCGTTATATTTTTTAAGAAATCATCTAAAACAATATTTAAAAAAAAAAAAACAAAAAAGACAAAACAATATACTAGCAACAGCCTTATATAACGTCCTTACGTCGAATAAGTGATAGTCCAAAAAATGGCACAATTTTTAATAAGGCAATCAGAATCACCAGATTTTTTTTATATCTCGATCTATTTAGAAATGATGATTAAATATAAATAAATAAGCATTGCGTTATAGAACTTTGCCTTAAAATGAAGTCCACAAGAATGGAATACTCTTGGAATGATGGTAATTATTTGTGTTTGAATGTTTCTTTTTTCTTAATTATAATTATAAATACACTACTTGATCAATTCCAGCTGATACCCTTTGAAGAAACCTTGATTTTTCTTAAATCGAGATAGGATTTTCTGATATAAAAAATTGAAACTATTAAGTAAGGTTAACTGACCTTCGCATGAACCAAAGAAATTTAACAATTGATACCTATCACATATAACCTAACTTAATTAATTACAAAACGATTTATTATATATTTTAGAGTTTACGTTTATGAAATCGGTGCAGTAATTTTGGATGGAATTTTCTGTTTTCAGATGCTTTCTAATTCTCTAGTTAGGTTTTAGGAAAACGGCTCTGCACGGTTCAATGTTATGCAATTCAATTTTAATTAGTTATCAAAAAAATCTTATAAATAAACATATCGTAAAACTCAGGTTGAATAGAATGCCTTTAAAACATCTGTTCTGTTAAACCGGCCGACGCAAACACTTATGAAAAAAATGCAATCTAAATATAGAGGCTCAGAACATATATACCGACTGTATAAAAATAGCATACCTGTTGTATAAACGCAATGAATCATGGTATTATTTCTGTATCATTTAATTACTTTCATATAGATCGATGTAATCAATTACTCTAATAATTAGAAACTTTTAAATAAATGTATTTTAGTAGATGTTGCAAATAAACAATATAGTTCATTTTTGTAACTTTTCTTTCGCGCAATTAAATGTGGCTATTCGTACTATGAACCCGAGTTATAAACGTAAAGTTATATATAAAGTTGAAATACTATAATTATCAAATTGGAGTATGATTACTTGGAAAGTAGACAAAGCATAATTTTGACCTTAAATTTATAGATATAAAAAATATAGATATTTCAGGGTTATTCTTTAAACAAGCGCAAACAGCGAAAAATTCTCACCTGAATTTTCTGGCTGAGCGGCCATCCTTGCCGTGATCCGTCCTCTCCCATTGCACCTGAAATTGTAAAGAATTATTATTAGATACGAAAAAGTAAATTAGAAGTTTAGTTTAGAAGAATAGGACATTATTGAAATAACTTTAAAATATAACGCTGAGAATAATATGCAAAAAGAATATTATTACTATTAAGAAATTTATCAAGCCACGCTAAAAATTTAATTCAAGGAAAACGTTCAACAATAAAAAACAAATATAAAATAATGTTAGAATATTTTTATGCATTTGTAATACATTTTTATTGATTTCCCGTGGCTAAAGTTATAGTAATCTATAAATGAAAAGTTTCAAAAGTTTTCGAACACTCTGGCGTACCTTAGAAAGAATTTGAGGTATGTATGCGCGTGTATGTATGCTCGGATACAATTTTTCGTCCATGATCTCGGGAATGATAAAAAAACATTTCATTCGTATTGTCCGGAAGGTGCACTAATTAGTTGTTGTCAAAGACAACAGACAGTCCAGACATTTTGGAGTTACAGAGCAAAAAGTACAAAATATAGCAGATTTTTAAAGAACGGAGAATTCGATTAGATTTAATTTTCGAAAAATAGTTAAAACAGATACCATTTGGTGTTCAAAAACGGTCATTGGACATATGTACATCATATTATCAGGTATATTATATTATGTTAGGGGCCGTTCAAGTATTACGTAAGCACCATAGGGGGGCGGGGGGTTGTCGATTTGCTTATTTTGGGTTGACATGGGGGGCAGGGGAGTCTGGATGATGATTACGTCATAGGTAGTATTTTTATTTTTTTACATTAATTGCAAAATGTTTACGTAAGCATGGGGGTAGAAGGTAAGAGCTTTGCTTACTTTTGCTGACAAGGGGGATGGGGGCAGGAGTAAATAATTGTAATAAATCTGCTTACGTAATACTTGAACGATCCCTTAGATCTATAAATAATAGTTATTTAAAAATATTTAAAGGATTTGTTATTAACCATCGATTGATTTTTATTAATTATTAATTTAAATTTGACTCGAATGTATATTAGCAATCTTCAAAGAAAAGCAAGTGTAACCCAATGAATGAAACTTTAAACAACCTGTTAAATAAAACAAAAATAATATTTATAATTGAATATTTCTCATAATGAAAATTGCATTATGTTGTACGTTATTTCAATATGTTCAGCAAACAAGAAGAAATACTACGGTTTGCAATCAGGCATAAAGGAAATTGACGTCCCATCACAATCAACTGGCAAAAAACCTTTTGGCAACTAACATCCCACGGAGGCTAAATAGAACACACCCGCTAGAACTCTTCAATGTAGATAAAATTTTAACTCATATCTATTTTATATTTTTTACTTTTTTTTCTTTTGACTTGTAGGCAACCTTTATTGAAATGTACTGTGTATTTGAAGTAGAAGTAGCACTGTCTACTTCTACTATTGTCATTTACATATCATATGACATTTAACTAAACATATTATCTTCAGATTTTCTAGAAGTAAAAGGACAGTTGTAAATTATATTGTATTAGGCATCAAGCAAAAACCACTATGCGCATCATCATTTAATGAAGACTTTGGGCTTGGAACCCAGACAAAATATGTAATCCGCTTGTAATTTGCCGCAGAATCATGTTTATCTCTCGCGCGCTATCGGTGTACGCTGCAGTCACAGACATTGTACCGATGACTTTATCCATTGCATCTCTTCAAGAATCCCTGACATATTAAGACGTCAGGCTAAAGCTGTCTTTCTGTACAAATTGCTCGACTTCCGTATTCCTAGAGCATTCCTTGCTCTAAGACATGATGTGAGAAAATGAACAAGCGTAACGGAATGAAATGATTTGCGATTTTCTCGCGCGAACATCAACTAACGCATACATCCCGACCAAAAGCTCAATTCTGGAAGTAATAACCAAATATCACATCCGCATGTAATACTTGACAAAGCCTGACTGTGAGATCCAAATTTTTTGGATTGGCTTACGTAACCATATAAGAAAATTTTTAAAAATTAGTTCACCACTCAATTAAGATTAAAATGTTTGTGTTGTCTAGGGTTCGGTTACGTACCAATAGATAAAAAAAAACTATAAATTTGGCACAAAAAAAATTATAATTAGTCCATTCACATAATTTATAGGGCTATGTGCTAATATACAATAGATTTCGAACATTGTCCAATATTCATTACTATTTTATGTGGAGCATATATATTGTGAAAACTAAACCAATTATATCACAACAAATAACACATATCAATCAAATAAATATCTGACTATGTTCACTAAAACTCCCATCATTGTAGAATGTTTTTTTTGCTGTTTGTTTCCTAGTCCTTTTTAGCCCATCGGCCGGATTTAATGGGATGACCAGGGGACAAACAAGTCTAATGCCTAATTTTTAATTTTAACGAGTTTTTCCAAAAGAATATCTACATTATTCAATCAATGCAAAATACAAATTTCATTTCTTGCATTTCGTCAGGAATATTAATCGGCGGAGTTGGAAGTAAATCAAAATTGTTTTTTTTAACTTAATTTACTTCTTTAACTTCCCGTAGGGTGATTAGGCTGATTAGTAAAGAGCAATGAGTGCAGAAAATAGAAATCGAGTTTTTGAGAGAACGGAGCATTCGAGTTGATTGATCTAAAAAACATTCAATTAGTAATGATTGGGAGAAGTGTCTATTAGTTTTTGGCAAAGGCAGGCCCAGCCATTTCGAAGATACTGAGCTAAATGTGCAAAAATGGCAGTTTTTGAGAGAACTAAGCGTCCGATTTAAATGATTCAAAGAACTTACTGCTTGTCTTAACAAAATAATTTGATTTTGGAAAAAAAATTTTGTTTCAACTTTTTTTTAAATTATTATTTTTTTCAAAAAAAATTTTTTTTGTGTATCAAAAATAATTCAGATTTTATTTTTAATTCTGACTATAGTTCTAATATACTTTGAACAAATAATTTCAACTTTGCAATTCAGTTTATAGAATTCTTATAAATATTAGACAATGTTACAATATTAATAATAATCTATTTGAAAACATTCAGTACTGGAAGTTCCAGCAATTTGCCTTAAGGCACGATGCCATACACCCCACTAGTTTAATTTTATTATTTTTTTCGTTTTATACACCTTTGTCACGTTAAAGGTTCAGTTGGTCCTTTCCACCCCAACCACATGTAAGCTTTTAAAGAGGTTATATAAAAAAAATCCATCTAGCTTAGAAGTACCAATACGTCTTGTAAAACAATTAAATGACGTATACTCATTAATTATAATAAGGTCTATTATATACAACCAAAAAACTAACAACGAAAAAACAAACAAAAATACTTTTGTTATGGATTTTGAAACACTATTGTATATCTCCTAACAGTAACGTTGTAAGAATCATGGTGATATTTTCCCTCTACTTTCAAATATTGTTGCTAATAAATTATTCCCCGCGCCCCCATCTCCAATTAGTTTAGCTAAACATAGTGAAAGCATGAAAATAATTAAATATAAAAGTGAAGAATACATAATGGTTATAACAATATAACAAGAGCATTCATTCTTAACAAGTATCGCAGATTAGTGTTAGATTAAATTAATTAATTCTAAATATCTAAATGATAAAACATTACCTAAAGCTTTTCACAATATTAAAATTCTGTATGATTTATCTGAGCAACCTGTCTATCACAGTTACTCGAATATAAATGATGGATCAAGCAGACAAAAATTGTGTATCGGCACAAAACATGAGATGAAAAAATGTTCATCTATCTCGTAATCAATCAGAAAATCAACGAAAACGGTACAATCGTAACTGTAAAATGCATGGATAATGTGATACTCATTTATAGTGTCTTTATTAAATTGTTCGAATAAAAGAAATTTATAGAATTTAAAAAAAATCGTTAATTTTTAGATACTTTTTTATAAGGATTCAACCAACATACATAAACAGCAAAATTTCATTTTATCAGGAACTAACTGCAACAGCAATAGGATATCTGATGTAGTAGGTACATATATGTATATAAACATTCGTAAAATTAATCATGGAGGAAATAAAAACCATCAGGGCAGTTAACCAGCAAACAAAATGAATAATTATAATGAACAGCTTTGATTGTAGATACTATTCACATTTTTAGGTTAAATTTACTATTTGCCTTCACACCTTTTACAGTATGTACTGTTATTTTCAATGCATTTACTAAATATCTTTTAGAAATAAAAACAAGCCATCAAACAAAAAATGGTAATTAATTAGGTTTAAAACATTAAAAAAAAAGATATGGAAAATTATTGTATATCATAATTTTAGAAAGAAGACAAACTAACCGAAATGAAAGATTCACCCATATTACTAGATATAAGTAGAAAATGTAAGTAATTCTTTAAGAATAAATAATAATCATCTTTATAATAATCAAATATCATCATTTACTATTTACAAAAGATAGTCAAAACCAATAAAAATGCTTTTGATTTTTTTAAACCAAAATCATGGTTAAAAAGTACAAAATTTAACTATATAAGTAACGTTCTTGTCTTCATCTTTCAATAAATTAAATTTTCTGTGAGTCTGAGATTTTATACATTTTTTTTTATTTTCACCATAAATCAGACCTAAAAGCTCATAAGCTGTCGATGATATTACAAACCTATTGAAAAAACAAATTTTAAGCCTATATTAACTTATTGGCCAACAGATCTTAACAAAATTCCTGATCTAATAGATCTCTTCATAACTGAAGGCGTTAACGATAATTGTTTAGATATCAAATCAAATTTAGATTTAAATTTCGATCATTCGCCAATTATTCTGCAATATTCTATAACTACAGTAATAAATCAAAACTTATATTTTCTCACAAATAAATTTACTAATTGGCCATTATTCCAAGAGATAATTGATGACAAAACTTCTTGCGACATACCTCTTAAAAAATTGATGCATTTTATATTAGAAGGAAATCCAGAGGTTGTCCGTTTCCTAACAGTAATGATATATTCAAACTTACTGCA